ACCATGATAATTTCAGATGAACGAGTCGTTGCTGTTACCAGTGTATGATATTCTCTCTCAGCTTTCTAAAAACGCTCTCACCGATATTGTTAGGAATGTGGAATTTTTATGGCGTGTTGGTATAACAACAAATTTAGTAAGTTGTATATTTATATATAATGACAATAATAGTAATGATAATAATAATGATAACAATAATAATGATAATAATAATAATGATAGTAATTATAATAATAACAATAATAATAATAATAGAGAGGTATTTTTGAAGCAGGAAAAGGAAGAGAAGGGAAAATGATATTAAGAAATTGGTAAAAGTATTAAAATTATTTTGATAAAATTTTTATAATGGTAAGGAATGTTTCGGTCCATTAAGTCGTATACATTTCTCGTCATTACCACAACTGGACCACGTCAGCAAACCATGGCCATTGGAAGACCGAATCGTAGTGTTAAAGCAAGTGAACGGTCCAAAGAAAAAAAAATGCGGAGCGGCCGGAGCCAGGAAGTTGAAATGAAGGGTGGGATAAGTTTGTTAAAATAATTTGCCACCGTTGATAGGCCGAACCGTAGCTGTTAAAACAAGTGGACGGTCTAAAGCAAGAAAAGTGGAACGGCCATAGTCCTGAAATTTTAAACAAGACCAATTATGTTGCAAGGACCAGTTTTTTTTTTTTTATTTTTATCAGCTTTAATTTATACTGTGGTTCTGCTAAACAAAAGATGGCATTTCCAACTGCTGTAACTAATGCTCCATGCCCTGATAATCCTCTTTCTGACGATTCTGAAGGTCGTTCCTTGATCTTAGGATGTTACCGCTCTGCTCTTCTCTCGAAAAAAGTTCTTGGATAGGGTTTTTAGCCTTTTCAAGTTGCTTTCGGTACGTATTGAGCATCATCACTTCGTCTCGAATCTTCCCACAGGTAAACCCCCGGAGTGGGGAGGGGGAGGGGGAGGGGGAGGAGAGGGAGGAGGAAGCGAAAGGTATTTCGCAGCGCCATAGGCACCAGTGCTACAAAAGCACTGGTCTGTTCATAAGTAAAACTAAACTCTAAGTGGCAGTGTTACAACTTTATTCCTAGTTTTTGCATAGTTCCGGGGTGGAAAGGGGCTGTCCTTCCACTCCCCGTCGCCCTCCTCCCCTCTCAGAAGTCTGTCTTGGATCCG